CCCCCCCCCCCCCCCCCTTGGGTGGGGGGGGGAATTTGGGGGAGTTGAAGTCTATACATTTTAAAGTTGCTAAGTTTGAAAAACACTGCTCTACAGGAAGATGAAGAGAGGTAGGAGTCAACAAAATGGCTGTTGTGTGCTGAGGGATGGAGGGAGGGACAGGCAACCACAGTGAGTTTATGAACAAATATTTTTGTGGAAACATCTAGGGATGAGACGGTCACAACAAGGTATTCATATTTCTTTCCTTTATGGCAGAACCTCTTAGGAAAAAGAGTTTTTCGGCACTACCAAAGTATAAAAGCACTTCGCAAGATATCCCATTCATGTTTCATGCACTCTTTAAACATTCTTTTTAAATCCAGCACTGATAATTAGAATAGGTACTTGATAAATGTTGAGATCACCTTGCTGAATGTTTCTAGATTTTAAAATCAGTTGTACTGTACCATTTGCACTTCATGAGAATCCTTATCATAGTTGGAAGGAAGCTTGGAAATGAAGAAGAATTGAACCTCCATCACCAACCATTGTCAATTCTTGTAGAGTGCAATGGAATCAACCAGGACATGCTGGCCAACTGCTAATATATATTTTGTTTCCTTTAATTTAGACAACATTGGATGCTCTTACATAATGGCTCTGTGCCTGGGAGAGCCACATTTCTTTCCAGATTCTTTATCTGACCTTGACACTTTTATCTTTATCTTCTCCAACAGGTTGAAATCTTTGCTTAAACAATAACACTGATACCTTCCTTTAAAAAAGAAAAAGGAAGGTTTAAAAAGGTACTTAGCTACTGAGGGAAAACTGAAATGATCATGTTCTCATAGATTTGTAACAAGCCAGGAGGAGGCTGTCCTCACTCTCTGTTTGCTTGATATTGATGATTATTACTAGCAAAACTGTTAATTTCTCACCTATAATCATCATTTTATTGCCAGGCCATGGAAATCAATGACTGATTTTTTTTTCTAAAGAAGGCAAGACAAAGGCAATACAGAAAAATCCAAGGACGTTGTTTTCAACAAATTTGTTTATACCTTCTCATAGACAAAGAGTAGCTTTGGAAATCTAAGACCTTTGAGACCTAAATAGGGTATAAATTCCATCTAAAATGTATCTTTTGGAGATATGACTGCCTAAATTGTCTGTCTGCCTGAAAGAGAATATTTTGGATAAATTTTATTGGCACTTCCCAGTTAACCCTCCCCATGGCATATACATTTTGAGGTGAACTATGAGAGAAGCAAAACTAGCTTCAGAGTTTGCACTTTTAAATCTTAGTATGTTCTTCATCCCGAGTGTTATATACAAGATGGAAAGCTCAGAATATGTATGCCAGGATGTATATATACCATGTGACTAAGAAAACAGATATATGGTTTCTTGAAAATAAAATCAAGAGTATGCCTGTATGGCAAAAATGAGCTTATAAAAACAATGTTTATAAGGAAGAGCAAAAAAGTGTGGACATTGTCTATTATTAATTTGCATAGGCTTGATTGGGAATGAAATGGACATATTTCTATTAATATGCACAAAAGAAGCGTTTATAAAAAGGAAGGGAAAACTAACGTAGAGATCTCTATCAGACCCCAATTTGTATCCAAAAATTTGCATCGTCCACGGATTGCTGATTTGCCTGCAAATTATTATTCCAAATATTAAAAGTAAATTTGTGCAGGTATGGGGAAACTATAGGAAAACCTCACATAGCACAGTAGAAAGAAATAAAAAGGTAGGACAAAAGTAAGTCTAGTAAATTTATTTGACTTTTTTTGTGTGGGTGTATGTGGATATGTATACATGGACTTCTGTATACATGCAGACATAAGAGAAAGATGTTTGCTGGAGATGAGCAATCCTGGACAAATGAAATCTTTCTTGATGGAACCCTGTAGAAAGGAGACTTAAAATTAAGTAATAGGATGTCTCTCAGCCTAGGAGAAAATTTTCTGTACCCAAACTTAACTCAGCTTACAGTTCTTTTATGCAAAAGCCCACTCATGACAATACAAAACTTTCTTGTATTTTAGCCACCTAGTTTCAGAGAAAAAATCGTTTTGCTGTTATTATTGCTTACCAATGGAGAATTAGAAATGTGTGGCTAACACCCAGGGATCTACCAGTACTACCCCTATCCTAACGTAAACTAGATCTTATACCACTAGTAAATTCAGAGCACCTGGCAATCATACAGCTAAAAAAAAAAAAAGAATATATAGGGGGGAAAAAACTTTTATTAGGCTTTCCCCAAACTCTGTCAAATGTTGGATTCAATGGGAGGAAAAAGAATCTGTTCAAGGGTGTGCTGATAAGCAGATTTTTCTGATACCTGCAAAGAGACCCCTAAATACAAGCTCTGTTCTTATCTGCAAGAGAGTTGTACAGTAGTGATAAATAACTTGGGAATATAAAAGAGCTAGGTATTTATCATTCATAATAAAGAAACATACATGCACAATGAAAAAGAGGAGAGCAAGACATGTTACCTGTATCAGCAGGGGCAAATAAAGTGGAAAATAAGAGAAGAGAAGCAACAGAAGAGCAAGCAGGGGTCACTGTCAGGGTAAAGAGCTCCACTGAAAACTTTGAGGACAGCTTGAAATGTAAAGCAACTACTAAATCCCCAAAGAAACATACTTGGGGGGGGGGGTTGCATGCCACAAAACCCAAGTGCTAATTCAACCTTCCCTGATCAGATATGCTACAATACAGTGCCCTTCACCCCCACCAAATTGGTCACTGACAATGCTGCCTAGGAATGATGGGACTTGTAGTTCTACATATCAGAAGGGCACCGAATTGTATTCTAGACATTAGAAGGGGGGCACATACCTACCCACCCACCCACCTTAGGAAACTGGTGCTACTGCAGGTCCCCCCATTCCCAACCCTTTCTTAGTGACTCACCCGGGCTGCCCTTGATGAATAGGGATCCTCAAAAAGTGCCCACATCTTGGGCTGCCAGTTGCGGCAACAGCTGCTGCCTCCTCCTCCTCCACCTGCAGCCCCAGGAGGCCTATCCTCCATGCCCAGGTGTTGAAGAGTCATCTCCCGGGCCCCTTCATCTTCAGTCTCCTCCCCAGCCAATCCACTGCCAGGCTCAGGGCTCTCAAAGATATCCAGGGCTTCCTCAGCATCACGGTGCTGGCGATAAGTCATCCAGCAGCAGGGCTCCACGTCAGTCTCATCAATGCCCCAGTAGGTGAGCTCCTCTTCAAAGAGGGGCCCACAGATGTCTGCTGGGCAGTGTAGTTTGCCCGTGCGGTAATAGTTCAACACATAGGAGAAAATGCCTGGGTGGCGGTCAAAGAAAAACTCATTGCTCTGCCCATCAAAGTCAAAATTGCTCTGGGCATCAGGATCTGCCAGCCAGGCCAGGCGGGTTCCTGGCAAGGTGCGCAAAGTGCTCTTGTAGGTCTCATGCCGGGTGCCCCCCACGTTGATCGTGATCTTGTCTGACTCCTCTCCTTTGCCCATTTCTTCCTTCAGGCATGTTTTGGAGGGTGGCTTGTTCCCTGATTTGCGCCCTCGGTAAGATGAGACACACACGGAGCTGATCATAGATTAGGTTAGGTGGGCCAGTGGTGCTTCTAAGAACCTGTTTTCTTCCGGCCCAGAAGCACGGGAGGAAGGAGCAGAGAAGGGCGCTACAGCAGCTGTGCCTTGAGGGGGCTGGTGTGATGGAGCTCGGTTGGCTTACGATTTTGAACAACTACCGTTATTCTGGAGGGAGAAAAGGAAGTCTCCTCAAGCCTCCCAAAGCCCAGCCAGGAGCTGCAACAAGTGCCTCAGTGTGCCGGGAGCAAAGCCTGGAGGCGGGAAGGAAACGGCCCTGTCTGGTCAGCAGAGATAGCCGAAAGATTCTGCCTCCTTTTAGGCGGGCTGGAAGCAGATGGCCACGGAACTGGAGCGGCAGGGCGGGTAATTCATCTGAGGCACAGGCTCCTGGTTAAGCCAAAAAGAACGTGAGAACAAACACCACCAGATATTCCTAGGAATAGGAGCAGCAGCCAGGAAGAAACGCCTCTTCTGCTTTCTGCCGCTCGCCAGGGCTCAGCAGGTTGGTAAACAGCCCCGTCTCGCGAAGTGGAGAAGAGAGCTTGACGTGACTTTAAAGACGATTTTAAACTTCCGAAGACCTCCTGGAGTAAACACGCTCCTCTCTCCCACGCACCCCTGAGAGATACGCAACCAACTCTCCGGGTCTCGCCTTGCCTCCTCTTCGTTCCAAAACCCTCGCTCGATGGCCCGCCTTTCCCCGCCAGGCAGTCAGGAGACACACAACACCGACCTCGTCAGCGCAGCAGAAAGGCACCGTGCCGGTTTCCGGGACGAGGTGAGGAGCCGGCAAGGAAAGCCGATTTAACAAGGCGCATCCTCGGCAGTTGAGTCTTCGGCTGAACGGGTTCCGTCGCGGCAATCCCAGATAGGGGAGGGCAGGGAGGCTCCGAACAGGGCTTGGCTGTCTCTGGTCCGCTGGGTTGGGAAAAGAGATTCAGGCTCCCGACACAATCTGCCTCCCGTCGGAGACCATCGGGTCTAAGCGGGAGAGCAACGGTCTTTCCACGGCCGAGGCGAAAGGGGGCGGGTGGGCTTGTCGGGCTTCAGGTGCGCTTGCGAGAAAGCGGGAGCAACCCGAGCCCGCTCGGCGCTGTCTCATTTTCAGACTGTGGGAGGGCGAGAGGGAGTGGAACGAGCGCACCGCTTGGGCGACTTGGGCTCTCTCGCGCGCGCTCGCCTCTCTTCCCCTCCTCCAGGACTGGGAGGGGCTGTGGGGGGCAGGGCTGCTCGCGCGGGGCAGCTTGGCGCAATCCAGAAGTTGCTGCGCGAGGAGAGCCGAGAGGAGAGAGTCTGCGGACAGTCGCGCCCTTAGTTCTTCGCGCTACAAAGCATCCTGTTGCCGCCAGCGACGGCGGCGTCCAGACGGCAAAGCAGAGCCGAATCGCCGAGCCGAAAAGCCATAGGAGGCGCAAAACCGACTGAAGCGGGCGCGTTTCTCTTGCAGCCCAGAGGGGGTGCTCGCGGGAGGGCGGCGCGGACGAGGTGGCCCCGGCAGCTTTCCTATGAGTGGCTTTGCGTAGCCTGTTGCCCGGATACTCGAGCGAGAGCTGGCGAGATGCTTCATCCCTTTGCACGGTCACGGTGTGCGGACGATTACGGGCTGGGCTCGCCGCGTGCTTCCTTTTGCATTTTAGCTAGCAAAGAAGCGCCCTTGGAGTGGGGGAGGCGGAAAAGCCTCTCTCGCTGAGCCCTCCTAGGATGCGTAGGGCAAATGCGCTTGTTCCAAAGGGGATCCTAACCCTCCCCCATCAAATGCAGAGAATGAATGCTATTTCAGAGAGCATCCCGAAATCTTTAATCATTTCCAGGGAGGAAGCACGTTAGCCTTGCAGCAATAACCACAAAGATCAGGGGAGACGGATTTAGAAGTGAGTCCATACTTTTGGCCCATCCAGCCTATTGCTGTCTACGTTGCCTGGTAACGGCTACCGATCCCCTGTTGCTGCTGATACCTTTGCATTTCATTCCTTTCTGACTTGTTTGTATTCGTGCCCCAGCCCTAAGGGCATAATGCTCTATGTTATAATAAGAGTGGATTGCAGACAACAAATGCTTAGGGCACAGAGGAAGCTGCTTTACATACAAGGTCAGATCATGCATCCAGTGGGTGTGAGTACAAGAAGCAGGTTTTGGGTGCACATTAGGAAAAAGTCCCAATTGTAAGAGGTATTCTACAGGTCAAGAGGTGAAACAGGCTATGAACACCTTTGTGGAGGTGTGTTTAAACCAAGGCTGGATTGCCATCCATTGCAGTAGTGAATTCCTGCACTGGGCCTGGGTTGGACTAAATGATTTCCAGTATTATTTTGAACTCTTTTGTTTTATGATTCTACTATCCATTTAGCCTACTGACTGGCGGTAGCTCTCCAGATTTTTTTCCAACCTCATCTGGAAATGGTGGGAAATGAACCAGGGATCTTCCACAGGCAGAACATATGTTTTACTACTGGCTCTAAGCTCCATCATAAATTTGCTCTTTAAAGTACCACAGTAATGTTTCTTATTTTCAGTTACAAACTTGAGAGTCCAGCAGGGCAAGTCCTCCTTTGCCGATCTTATCAAAAGCCCCGATTTCTGCTTTTGCAAATGTGGAGAATGCTCTGCCTCTGACAGTTCAAGACACAGCTCAGCATTCCTCTGTTAGCTAGGGTTGAGATATTTGTGATAGTTGTATCTTTATTATGGTCAGTGATCACATTTTATAAAAATTTTGTAAAAAGATTGCAAGGCTCAGATTTTGAGATGATTAATAGAAATAAATAAAATGGATCAAACTGCAAAACACTAGTAGAATACTAATAAATCTGAAGTAGAAACCTACTTTGTGAATAAAGTACTAAAATATTAGAGCACTACACTAGTGGATATGAGTATATGTGTGTTTTGTTTATTTCTTTTCCACGTTGCTACCTGGCAGCAATCAGAGATGGTGTATGTAGAATATGTAACTTTATTGCGGTCCGTGACCAGTGAGATGTAACAGAAAGATATCCAAACATAAAACAACATAGAAAGTTATAAGAAAATGTACATTTATAAAATCCTAAAATTAGGAGAATGTTTTCTTGCTTTTTTCTTGGCAGCTGACAGAAATGTTGTGACCATCTTAGAGATGTTAGGTAAACAGTAAAAAGCCAATGAACATGACAAGTGGAGCTTCTATTAGTGAGAGATGTTATGAAGGTAGGGCACAAGTTGCTGTGGAAAGGGCATTGAAAGAACCTGTGGGCTAGAGCAGTGTTGTCCAAACTTGGCCACTTTAAGATGAGTGGACTTCAACTCTGGGAGTTGAAGTCCACTCATCTTAAAGTGGCCAAGTTTGGACAACACTGGGCTAGAGTCTCAAGTTCACAGGCATAGGGGCAGGTTCACTCTGCAAAAGGGGTATTGTTATATCTTTCATCTAGGGTTGCAGAAGGCAAGGCATTAAAGTGGGCTAGATAAAGAGCTCCACAGTGTGTGAGGCCAGTAATGGTGAATAGGTAATTTGCTGGTGAAGATTTCCTGTTTATATCCTGCCAATGTTGGCTGGATTGCCCTGTTCTACCTGGAGAGCTGTAACGAACATCCACTGCCAGATTGCAGCTCTACTTGATAGCTCCATAGCCAGGAGAGCGTGACAGAAGTTCCCCAACTAATGTCCTTGAAAATCCAAATTACCCGTCCATGTCCTCTCCATTCCATTGGTGCCAGCTAATGGCATAAGGGAGCTCAGTGGAAACCCCTTGCGGCCAGGAGAGGCAGCTAAGGTGCAGGTTGTGGCATCACAGATAATCCACTGCTCTTGTCTGAAAGATTCTTCTTTTCCTTTATATGCCCCCAAAACCTGTTTTACTGATAGACTCAAATAAAAGACATTATAACAAAGGTTGATATTTCCTCCATCTGGCTGCAAATTCCAACTCCAGGCAAAGGGACACTAGTCACAGATTTCACTGAGGATCCCATGGGGAATATTCGTTATTTGATCTACTCCAATAACTTCACCTCTTCTGGCCTGGACTTCTACTAGATACAGTATATCACAATGTGGGTACACCCGCTTCTCCCCTTCCAACAGCTTGTAAGGGGTTCCCAGTTTCATGTTCTACCACCAATGGGGATCAACTCCCATCTCTACCTAAGCTAGACCATACAGCTGATCTGACAAATCACTATCAGGCAGAGCCTTTGACAGAACTACTGTCCCAGTCTTGCAGCCAACCATCAGCCCGACTAAGCAAGGGACGAAGGGGAACCTTCCTGATTTCTTGCAGCATCGCTGGTTAGAAGGCCAAGAAAGATGATCCTTACTTCCAGGACTTAAGGCTATAAATATAATTTTATTTTGTTACAGGAGACCTGATCTCCAGATTACCCAATACTACAAGATTACTCAGTGAATTCCTTTAATGCTGTTTACAGTGCCACATGGGGTTGTGCCTGAGGAGGTGTTGATACACACAGTGTTAGCTTTTAGGGCAAATTTAGCCAAATGTGACATTCTAATTATAAATATCCATGTTCCCCTGGTATGTTGCTTTCTTTAACAAATGCTGGATGGGATAAATTGGAGAACTAATTTTCTCAACTCACTTAAGAACATCCAAATGTTGGTCTTATGCTAGCAGGTGACTTTAACACCAGACTTGACGAGGCTCTCTCCTTTTATTTTAATAGCCATATTTCCCTCCACAAAGGCCATTTTGGAGGTCAGCTGTGCTACTGTAACCTGTAAGAAACAGGTTATGAACACAGCAAACTGGCATCTATTATTCATCATCAGAAGTTTTAGACTTTACATACTAAATGGGGACCTTAATGGTGAGCTTGTCTATTGGGGGCCATGAGGGTTAATCCGTTATGTCTTAACCTCGTACAACTTTTTTAAGCTGGTAGTTTCATTTAAAACTGGCCTATGATTGGACAGTGACCACTTGGTGCTGTTATTTCATCTGGTCTTGGCCCTCATCCAGATTCTTTGGGCAGTTCCAGCTGGGTTAGGGATAAAGACACAGGTTTAGTCATTCCTTGGATCAGATGGTCTCAGAAGACTGCAAGAATTGGCACCAACGCTAGTAGATGCCCTGGCCAGTGAGCATCAGCAGGATTTCTGTGGATGTGATGGGTATGTCTTCTCTTTTGATACCATTTCTCATTATTTGGATAATGTTGTTTTCTCTCCTGTTCTGGCTGAGTGGGCATTAGGGTACAGTGACCTTTTTATTAGTGCAGCAACATGGTATTTCACTACCCCCAAATAATTGTTCAGCCTACTTCAGTATTCCTGACATCATAATTCCAAGCTTTAAAATAAGGTCCTACACATATAACTCTTAATATTTTAATACAGTATGTAGTTTACATTTGCTCATACTTTTTAACAAAATCAGAAGTCACACAACAGGCTGAGAAATATAGATAATTAATGGGTGGTAGAGCAATGTAGGCAGTAAAATAGCATTAAAAGGCTACCAGTAAGCTTGCTATTTAGTGGCTGTTGAAATTCTCAGAAAAGAAAATTCTTCACTGTATGCTAATTCTCTACATAAGTCTTTCTCCTACCAGATTTAGACTTTCTTAGAGAAGTAACTGTGATAATACATTATTATTATCTATTCATTTTGTTCTTTTTTTAAATTCAGAGTGCTCAGTTCTATTTATTTATAAGAGCCTTGACCAATTCAAGTGCAAAGCCAGTGTTATAG